AAGTCACAATGAATTTTATGTTCATTTTTGGAGGATTTTACATCTCACAGCTTCAGGATTTTCCAGGTTGTGTACTGTAGACCCAAGTAAATGTAGCACTACTTATAAATCCTACACTCTCTATATTTTGCTTCAAGTTATATTCCACACAAGCAAAGAACCCTTTCACTCTTTCAGCTTATCTTCATTGATTAGTTAAAAATAAAGTTTATGCGGCCAAATATGAAACATTGAATACTCATGCAGGCAGCAATGCTTACCTCCTATTGGTAGGGCTGGATCCAATGGAGGTTGCTCTGAGGGAACTGAATTTGTCAGGCGAGGTACTTGCAGTTGATGATCTGAGGCATCGGAGTAACTGATTGGGCCAGTCTGAAATTCAGTTCGGGTTGACCTCTTATTCTGCTTGAAGTTTAGAAGTGACTTGCCATCATACTGAATAACTTGATCCCAATTTTCATATGCTTTCTTCACCAACGTATCTACATAGACCTGCAAAAACAAAAACATTATACAAATTTTATGCATTTGACCTTCCCCCTGTCAATTATTTAGCATAGAAGATAAAGCATAATATAGTATCATAACACCAAACTGTTCAGTTAGAAACACAAAGTACATAATCAGTTTATAAGCCTTGTAGTTACTGGGTGTTTTCAAACTAATAACCTCTTTTTACCTTCCATACATTTACTAGGAACAGCAGAAGACTACAGCAGGAACAAAGATTTAACACATAAAGAGCACATCCTCCTAACATGAATTATCAGAAAAAAAACAAAACAAAAAACAAAACTCATCTCCCTACATTAATTCTCCTTGGTGAACCTGTTTCAACTCTTCCACTATGTGTCAAATATAAAACCTTGCAGCAAAAGGAAAATTTATTTTGAAATATGTAATCTAAAAGAGCACAAAGATTGACCGACCAAAAAATAAAAAAGTGAGACCACATTCCAAGAAAAATAAAATAAACCAAAAGAAAGAGGTTAATATTCACCTTCTGGCTGTCAGATAGAGCATCGGCAGAGTGAAACTGCTCCCCAGCGATGAGGCCACTCAGCTCATAGATGTTGTTAAAAACAACACCAACATTTCTTGTATCTTCAGGATAATAAACATAAAGCTTCCCACTCAAGACACAAGTCTTTGCATGTTCTAAAAGAGCATCCCACATCTTGTTCGACATACCGCTTCCAAGAATCTATATACAGCATCCAAACAAAATATAAAACATCTACAAGGTACAAAATTGAGTATGTGTTAGTGTGTGCTTTTACAACTCAAACCAAGTCCTACACTTACATTCCGTAATTTTTGAGAATCTCGGACCACAAGCTGAAGAAACTCTTCAACTGTGAATATTCCTGCATTGTTTAGCCTCTTATGGAATGCCCCATCCTTGCCAATCTTCTCCAATCTCCATACATCATCACTTAATGCTGGTGGGTAGTGTTTCTTGTACACTGTCAAGATCAATGGAAAAAAAAAATTAATAAAAAATCAACAACAGTGTGCTAGAACAGATAGAAAAAGAAAATATACGCCAGAGCATGAACCTACATTCTCCTCTGTGATCTTTAACAGTAAAAGCTTCTGTCTTAGCTTCACGTACGCGCATGCCCTCACAAAATCCCGAAGCAACTTTCATTCCAAGCCTGAACTTCCTGCTTCGTATCCAACTTGAGTTATCTGTAAAGGTCAGATCCCCTAGTGTTCCTACCCCTTCTTTGAGGGTCACTTGCAGTTCCCCAGTCAACAGAGGTCTCTTCCCTTCACGCTCTTTCACCACATGGCTATCAAATTCTTCTTGAGTCCAGCCTTCATCATCTTCATTGTTGAAATCACCTTCAAGCACAACAACATCCAGTTTTACAGAGGATTCGGGTCCCGAAGTCACAACTCGCTGTGTGTTTCTATCAACCAAAACAACATGAATTGCAGCACCCTGCTCGCCTTCAACTTTCCCTCCAGTGAAGATCGGAAGAGACAAATTGGACCTAAACTCTAGCTGCAAGTTTTGCCCATTGGGACCTTCAATCCGTTTTGGGGAAGACCTGAAATGTCAAATGTCAGAAACTGTTTTACCACAACATGATTGAACATAAAGTTCATGGTGACATTTTTTTAATAACTTTTTATTTTGCTAAAATAATTCATGGTTGTGATGACTCTGACATCAGGGAGCATTGAAACAAAATATCTTGCATTAAAAAGCATCTATCATTACTCTCCCTTTTTGCAACAATTTCCTTTCTGATATCATATAAATAATTAGAAATCCGGATAGGCAATCCTTGCTTATCCTGATAACTTAACAGGATTGCTTATTTATAATTCTTAAAGGGGTTAACTATTTTGTTCTATTCTATAAATGATTAAAATTTGTTTCATTCATTATAAAAATAAATAAATAAAATTCTCATAAATAATTTTTTGACCTTCCATTAACTCTCGGAGGGCCTAACTTAGCCAACGCACGTTCCACTTCTTCACTTACCTGTAAACCAGTAAAAGAATAAGCGCTACAGATCAAGAGCATAGACAGAGAATCCCAATAGGTCTCTTATGTTTTGACCATAACTACGATAGATTGTGTTACATAACCAACAAACAGTTCATTTATAAGAAAGCAACTATCCTGCATAAAAATGCAAAAGAATCATCCGAACCTTTAATTGTTTAAATACTTCCAGTTTGTCTTCTCTTTATACATAATACCAACATCAAACTAAGACAAATTGGAAGTACTAAAACTATGTTAATGAACAAAAAAAATCTGTACCTTGATTTAGGTTTCTTCATTTGAACAAATCATTTTTTACTAAAATGACTAATGATGTAACGGCCTAAAAAAAAATTTCAGTTCATAAGATTTAATCACTATTCCAAGAGTCAAGAACGCTTGGACTTAGCTTTTAACCCACCACTAAATAAATTTAGCTTCCATCACTCTGTTTCAATATAAACAAAACTAAGTCACATACACTATGCAAAATTCTTGGTCACCTTTAAAACTATAGCTTTAAAATTTGGTTGAGAAGTAAAGAGTTTTAAAACAATGTTCTTCCTACAAAAAAAACAAAGGTCTTATATATCAAACTCTTTTCCTAATAATTTTTCTTTATGATACCACCAATCTCTGGAGTGGGACATGACAAACCTCTCTTAGTCACCAACCCCAGGTTTGGGCATGATAGATTTGGTGTTATTAGAGGAGTTACCCACGTAGAGAGAATTAGGAGATGAATTTCGACACAAATAATCAGTATTATTCTCATCAACATTCAGAAGGAACTGCAATGTCAGAAAATTATATTTTCAGATGATTCGGTTAAAACTAAAATACTCTGCAAATCAAACACATAACAATAGCCAGGCTATCGTCTTCTTTAACAACCAACTGAGTTAAAGAAAAAATAGTCCACATATCAAATGCATGAGCCTGAAAAGGTATTGACTAATAATCAACTCCCCATTGAGTATGTTAATCACTGTTTCAAGCTTAACAGTGAAACAAGCATATGGTAACTTTAAACTATCTTTTGATTTGTTCAGCTTTATCAGCCCAAACATACATTGTATAACCAGTACTAGTAACTATTAATTCTTTAAAAAAGGTGGGATAAACTCGTCACATATGATAGGTATCAAACACAAGTATGGAAAGCAAGAGTACATATAAATATCTCTCAGGTATGCA